GAAATCCTTTTCTCTTGTCGGTTCTTCGACCTTTCCACCCAAGCGATCTGCGTCGTCGAACGCAGAAGGAAAAGGAGTCTGGAAGCGGGCCGTACCTCTTCGTGTCGACTGCCGACGATGACGAGGAGGATGACTACGACGAGTGCTGTGACACCGAGTGACACGCAGCGACAACCTGCGACAAGCTGCGACAAGCTGCGACAAGGCAGGGGACACCTGGTGGTCGTCGACGCCCCTTTGACACCTAGCCGTCCTGCCGGGACTTACGACTGCGATACTCCTGGCAACACTCCCACATTCCCCGATGACGAGCCCAGATCTCACAGGTAAGATAGGCCTGTGCTCACCTCCACCGTCGCCTCCACCACCGTCACTTACAGATAAGCTATCTGCCGTCCGTGTGACATTTCGTCGAACTTCATCCGCTCCAATCACCTTTCCATACCGCAACCCGTCGAGGCCTTACCGACCAAAATGGCCCAATCAGAACTGCTACGTGAAAAAGGCCCAATCATTGGTAACTGATATGACCCATGTCCATCTAACGACAATTCGATATGGGCCGCAACGAACATTTTTGATCAATCAGAGGACAACCTCCGTGGTGAGGTAGATTTTCTATTATCGAGTTTTCAAATAATTTCTCACGTTTCTCGGACGGAACTTTTCAATGTCAAAATTCAGTTCATGGTCATTCAGAACTACTGCACCACCTGCAATTAGCAAGCCTATCTGATATCTATCAATTCCTATAATGAAACTATCTTCGGCTAGTGCAATAGTTCTGAACAACCCTCTATATTTATATATATGTGCAACAATCGAATAAACTCATTGACAATGCATAAATATCGAATAAACGTTCAAAGTTATTTTATTTAAAAAAAAACAATATAAAAAAATAGATCCGCCTTGTTTCTCTCCCTTGTCACACACGCTACCATAGTACTTCCTTATAACGACCCTTCCAGATCCAATCAAAGTAAAGCCCTACCAAGAGCCAATAAACCCAATAACAATGTTATAATCGATTAACGGAAGTCCTGAA